GATTTTTGTATTTTTGGTAGAGACGGGTTTCACCATATTGGCCAGGCTGGTCTCGAACTCCTGACCTTGTGATTCACCCGCCTCAGCCTCCCAAAGTGCTAGGATTACAGGCGTGAGCCACCTTGCCCGGCCTCACAGCCCCCATTTTCACAGAGTTGTTGTGAGGCTGGAATGAGATCTCAGGCCTTTGGGGTCAGGTGCAGCTGGCCTCAAATCCAGACTCCTGCCTTCTGAATCATGTGGTCCTGAGTGACTCACTGTGAGTCTGGGTCTCCTGGTCTGTGAAATGGACCATGAATTCTGCCTCTGACAGGCGGGCTTCGAGAGGCAGAGGGACCCAGGCCTGTGGTGGCCCCAGCACAAGACCTGGCACTCGGTAGGCAGTCCATGCCTGGTGAATAGTAGGAGGTCCATGGCCTTGAGGGAGAAAAGTGTTCATATCCCCCACTGGCTGCAGATCCTGCTCACCTTGGGGGAAATTCCAGCTCAGAAAGCACCTGTCTTGGAGCTGGGAGAGGCAGAGACCATGGAAAGACCCTGAGAAACAGGGAACTACCGGCGAGGGGTTTCCCAGGCTGCAGGGAGAAGGATTCTGGCGGGCGAGAGGAGGTGAAAACAGCACCCCTGCTTGAAACTCTCCATGCCTCCCAAGGTCACACTTCCCAGCACCACTCACCTTCCAGGCCTGGCCCACACCCTCCAACCCCATCTGCACGCCCTCCCAGCCACCCTCACCTTCTCTGTTCCACCTCAAGCCTTTGCCCTGGCTCTTCCCTCTTTCAGGAATGTTTTTTCCCTCTTTTTTTCTTTTCTATGTCTTTGAGACAGTCTCGCTCTGTCACGCAGGCTGAAGTACAATGGCACAATCTCAGCTCATAACAACCTTCACCTCCCAGCTTCAAGTGATTCTCGTGCCTCAGCTGCCTGAGTACCTGGGACTACAGGTGCAATCCACCAGCCTGGCTAATTTTTGTATTTTTAGCAGAGACAGGGTTTCACTTTGTTGGCCAGGCTGGTCTCTAACTCCTGACCTCAAGTGATCCACCCACCTCAGCCTCCCAAAGTGCTGGGAATACAGGCGTGTGCCACCGAACACAGCCGTTTTTTGTTTGGTTTTGTTTTGTTTTTTTGGTTTTTTGAGACGGAGTTTCACTCTTGTTACCCAGGCTGGAGTGCAATGGCGCGATCTCGGCTCACCGCAACCTCCGCCTCCCGGGTTCAGGCAATTCTCCTGCCTCAGCCTCCTGAGTAGCTGGGATTACAGGCACGCGCCACCATGCCCAGCTAATTTTTTGTATTTTTAGTAGAGACAGGGTTTCACCTTGTTGACCAGGATGGCCTCGATCTCTTGCCCTTGTGATCCACCCGCCTCGGCCTCCTAAAGTGCTGGGATTACAGGCTTGAGCCACCGCACCCGGCCTTGTTTTTTTTTTTTTTTTAATGAGATGGGATTTCACTCTCTTGCCCAGGATGGAATGCAGTGGTGCAATTATAGCTCACTGCAGCCTTGACCTGTGGGCTCAAAAGATCCTCCCACCTCAGCCTCTGAGTGCTGGGACTGTGTGCTGGGACTACAGGCACTCACTATCATACTTGGCTAGTTATTTTTTCTTTTCTTTTTTTCTTTTTTTTTTTTTGTAGGGACAGGGTGGTGGTGGGGGGTGGAAGGTTCTCCCTATATTGCCCAGGCTGGTCTCAAACTCCTGGCCTCAAGCAATCCTCCTGCCTCAGCCTCTTAAACTGCTGGGATTACAGGTGTAAGCCTCTGTGCCAGGCCCCAGGAATACTTTTTCCATGAATACTTGGTGTCCTTTAGGCTTCAGCTCTACATCCTCAGGGGGTCCCACCCTGGCCCCTTCTCTATTGGAGTCCCAGCCCCCACTACCAGTTAGTCTCCATCACTTATCAGCATTTGTCCCTCTCTGAAATTACATTACACAATGTATTGATTAACTTACGTGTTCCTATGCCGACAGCGTCTCCGGATAGAAGGTCAGCGCCATGGGGGCTGGAATCTTTTTTGAGTCAGAGTCTCATTCTGTTGCCCAGGCTGGAGTGCAGGCACCATCTCTGCTCACTGCAACCTCTGCATGCCAGGTTCAAGCAATTCTCTTGCCTCAGCCTCCTAAGTAGCTGGGATTATAAGCGCCCGCCACCACACCTGGCTAATTTTTGTATTTGTAGTAGAGATGGTGTTTCTTCTCTTTTTTTGAGATGGAGTCTTACTCTATCGCTCAGGCTGGAGTGTGGTGGCGCAGATCTCAGCTCACTGCAACCTCTGCTGACCGGGTTCAAGCGATTCTCCTGTCTCAATCTCCCAAGTAGCTGGGACTACAGGCACCTGCCACCATGCCCTGCTAATGTTTGTATTTTTAGTAGAGACTGGTTTCACCATCTTGGCCAGGCTGGTCTTGAACTCCTGACCTTGTGATCCACCCGCCTCGGCCTCCCAAAGTGCTGGGATTACAGGCCCGAGCCACCATGGTTGGGGAGGGGATCTGGAATCTTGTCTCGTGCAGGGCTCCATCATTAGGCATTTTCTTGTGCTTCCACAGTGGCTAAGCCTGGGCTGGGGCTGCCTAGGAGGAAGCCTCCAGGAGCCCCAGGTCCCCAAGGAGGCCTTGGGAGGGCACCCAGGCTCTGAGCCCCCAGAGATGCCACAGTTCCAGGGCAGAGCGGGGCTCAAACCTGTCCTCCCAAAAGACTTCCTTCAGCCTATTTCCTGCCTGTTTCCAGGAGGGAGAATGGTCTTGGCTCTTGGAATAGGTTTTCCTGTCATCATCTCCACTGTCCCCAGGTCCATGGCTCTGCCCGCGGCTGCACTGATTGTGGCCACTGGATAGGAAATAGAGGCTCTTCAGACCCTGTTCCTGAGATTGCAGCTGGCCTCTCCCTGTTCCCCCGCTCCTCTCTGAAAAGTGACTCCACCACTCGTGATGTTGGCTCTTCACTAAACATTCTCCTGTACTATCAGTACCTCTTCATCTCCCCCTCGGTCCAAGGCAGGGACCCTTCTCACTCAGGGACTGCAGGGGCCTCCACCCTGCTCTCCTGGCATTGCTGAACTATTTTCTATGCATCAGTCTCAGCCAGCTCTTTACAATTTAACGTGGGGCAGGGCCAGGTGTGGTGGTTCATGCCTATAATCCCAGCACTCTGGGAGGGTGAGGCAGGAGGAGCGATTGAGCGCTGATTACAGGCGTCACCCTGTGTTAGAGAAACACACGGTCCTTACCTTCAGAGACAAAGTTTGGGGCTGGTGGTGCAGGACACCTTCCTTATTTACTTCCTGGCTACCTGCCTGCATCCATTCATTCATTTACTTTCAATAAGCATTTACTGGCCAGGCACGATGGCTCACACCTGTAACCCCAACGCTCTGGAAAGCTGAGGCAGGCAGATCACTTGAGTTCAAGAGTTCGAGACCAGCCTGGCCAATATGGTGAAACCCCGTCTCTACTAAAACTACAAAACTTAGCTGGGTGTGGTGGCAGGCACCTGTAATCCCAGCTACTCAGGAGGCTAAGGCAGGAGAACCACTTGAACCCAAGAGGCAGAGGTTGCAGTGAGCTGAGTTAGCACCACCACACTCCAGCGTGGGTGACAGGGTGAGACGTCATCTCACAAAAAAAAAAAAAAAAAAAAAAAAAAAAAAGGCTGGGTGAGGTGGCTCCCACCTGTCATCCTAGCACTTTGGGAGGCCAAGATGGGTGGATCACCTGGGGTCAGGAGTTTAAGACCAAGCCTGGCCAACGTGGTGAAACCATGTCTCTACAAAAATACAAAAATTAAGCAGTCGCGATGGCAAGTGCCTGTAATCTCAGCTACTTGAGAAGCTGAGGCAGGAGAATCACTTGAACCCAGGAGGCAGAGGTTACAGTTAGCTGAGATTGCACCATTGCACTCCAGCCGGGGTGACAGAGCGAGACTCTGTCTCAAAAAAATAAAAGCCTTTACTGATAATCCATAGTCCTGGGGTTATACAACTACAGAACTGGCATGGAACAGACTGGCAGACTGGTTCCTGGCCCTCAGGGGTCTCACAGCCTCACAGCCTGTTGGGGTCCACAGGTGAGATCGGGGCTGGGCTGAGGGAACACAGAACGAGGGTGAGGGGCTTTACCAGGTGGACTCTTGACTGGTGAGAAGGAGTCTGAAAGGAGAGTCACGGATCCCCAGGCCTTGGGAGCAGCTTGTGCAAAGGCTGGCAGCTGGAAGGAGACCAAAGGAGCGGGGGGACCGCATGGCTGGCATGAGGGAGGAGGCAGGAGGAAGGGGACACGGCCTGAGGGCAGTTGGAAATGCTGCGGGGACCTCAGTGGCCCCACAGATCTGAGTGGAATCCAGGGACCTGGAGGTGCTGTCCTGGTCCTGCCCAGCCACCCAGCTTCCCAGCCAGGACAGGCCAGAGCCTGCCAGAGACAGCTCACCAGGCTCCAACCCTTCCCTCAGGGGCCGGAGCAGCAGGGACAGGGATTGGCAGGGCCGCACCCCCCCCCCCCGCCAGCAGGGTGGGCAATTTCTCCTGAGTCAGGAAATGCCCTCCCAGGGAGGCCTCGGCTCTGCTTGGCAGGGGTTCCCATTTCCTCCCACGCTCCTCCCCGCCAGAGTTCTAAGCAGGTGCTCAGTCTACCCAGGCACCGAGCCCATGCTGCAGATGGAGAAACTTAGGCTCAGCTGAGTTGAGCTCAGAACCTGATGCAGCAGAGGCAGGCTTGAACCCAGAGCCTGTGTGGCTCGGAGCCCAGAACAGTATTCCCCGGAGAGCTCGTCCCAGGTGGGGCCAGTGTGGTTCTGGAACAAAGGTCCCTTCCTGAGCCTTGCAGGGCCTGGTCAACTCGTCAGGGCTCAGAAGATCACAAAAGCATCAGCATTGGCTCTCTTGCTTTTTCCATGTTTTTTTTTTTGTTTTGTTTTGTTTTTTAATGTGAGTCAAAGATTGATTTCTTTATTTCTTGCGTTTGAAGTACTCTTCGATGACATCCTTAGCCTGAGACTCCTCACCTTAGTCCTTTACGAGGTTTCCCCTCTCTGTCAGTTTCACAGAGGCCTCCCCATTCCGATCCTTTCTTGTTGTCATCAACCTTAATTAGGTTTATTTGGTGCTCAGCACAAAGGGCCTCCACCCACTTGACATACATAGGCTCATCACAGTTGGATGCACCCACACAAAGATGGGCTTGGTACTCTTTGGCAGGTTCGTGAATTTCACGTGCTAGGCCATCGTGGATGAGGGCTGTCTTCAGCCCCTCTTGTAAAGCAGTAGTAACATCCATTATACCTCCGGCATCAATGCCTTACTCAGCCATGGCGGTGGGTTACAGGTGAAGCCGAATCTTGAACGCACCCAAGCCTCTGCCTCTGCAAGACTCGGCGGGGACTAGACAGCGGGGAAAAAACTTTTTTTTTTTGAGACAGGGTCTTGCTCTGTCACCCAGCTGGAGTGCAGTGGTGCAGTCTCAGCTCATTGCAGCCCTGACCTCCTATGCTCAAGCAATCCTCCCATCTCAGCCTCTCGAGTAGCTGGGACTGCAGGTGCTCGGCCACATCCAGCTAATTTTTTTATTTTTTATTTTTATTTTTGGTAGAGACAGGGGTCTTGCTATGTCGCCCAGACTAGTCTCAAACTCCTGGCCTCAAGGAATCCTCCTGCCTCAGCTTCCCAAAGTGCTGGGATTATAGGTGTGAGCCACACCACACACCTGACCTATGTTAGCATTTTAGTATAAAATACTAATTATTTAGTATTAACCGTCAATCAGAGGTCTCCCAACAAGAGCTCTCTTACCATTTGGAAGTGCCAAATTCCAGGGCTTAACATTTCCTTCAAGCTAGCAGTTTTGATTTTTTTGCTTTTATGAGACAGGGTCTCTTACTTTGTCACCGGGCTGGAGTCCAGTGGCACAATAATGGCTCACTGCAGCCTCAACTTCCCAGGCTTCAGTGATCCTCCTGCTTCAGCCTCCCAAGTAGCTGGGACCACAGGGGCCACTAATTTTTTTTTATTGTTTTATAGAAACAGAGTCTCACCAAGTTGCCCGGGCTGGTCTCGAACTTGGCCTCAAGCATTCCTCCCACCTCAGCCTCCCAAAGTGCAGAGATCACAGGCATGAGTCACTGCACCTGGCCCTCAAGCTAGTCATTTTTATTAGCTACCTGCCTGTGAACTTGAACTGTTTTTTGGAAATGCCCCTACCTCACAGGGTTGTGATGAGGATCGGATGTTGGTGCCAACTCCAGCTTCTGTGATTCTAGCTCAGGAGTACCGTGTCTTTTTGTGTATCCAATTATTTGTTAAAATCTGAAATCTATGTGTGCCGATGGGGAATAAGTTTCAATATATACCTTCAACTGAGAAACGGAAGGAACAGAACAGTATGTATGAAATATGACCATCTGTGTTGTTTAAAATGGGAATGTGTGTGTGTGTGTATGTGTGTGTGTATATATATATATATATATATATATATGTATGTATATATGCCTGTGCTCATTCGGGATATCTCTGGAAGAATACACAGAGGAAACGGATTGTGCACCCCCGTATCCCCACCCCACTTCCTCTCCTTAGTTCTTCTTCCTGGAATGTATACAACATACCATGCATTTTCCTGTTTCTTTATCGTCTCTCTCCTCCAGGAGAATAGACTCTCCATCAGGGCAGGGGTTTTCTGGCGTGTGTTTGCTGCTGACTCCAGCACCTAAACTTGTGCAGCTCAACCCAGCGCCCCCAGCCACATGTGGTGACTGAGCACTGGAAATGGGGCTGGTCTGATTGAGAAGGGCGTAAGAGTAAAATACACATGGGTTTCTTTTCTTCTTCTTCTTTTTTTTTTTTTTTTGAGATGTTGTCTTGCTTTGTTGCCCAGGCTGGAGTTCAGTGGCGCCGTCTGCTGCTCACTGCAACCTCCGCCTCCTGGGTTCAAGCGATTGTCCTGCCTCAGCCTCCCGAGAAGCTGGGATTACAGACGTGCACCACCACGTCCAGCTAATTTTTGTGTTATTAGTAGAGACAGGGCTTCACTGTGTTGGCCAGGCTGCTCTTGAGCTAGTGAACTCCTGATCTGCCCACCTCGGCCTCCCAAAGTGCTGAGATTAGAGGTGTGAACCACCTTGCCCAGCCTTGTTTTGTTTTTTGAGACGGAGTCTCACTCTGTCACTCAGGCTGGAGTGCAGTGGTGTGATCTTGGCTCATTGCAACCTCTGTCTCCACGGTTCGAGCGATTCTTTTGCCTCAGCCTCTCCAGTAGCTGGGATTACAAGCACGTGACACCACACCCAGGTAATTCTGTAGTTTTAGTAGAAATGGGATTTTACCATGTTGGCCAGGCTGGTCTCTAATTCCTGACCTCATGATCCACCCACCTCAGTCTCTCAAAGTGCTGGAATTACAGGTGTGAGCCACCGTGCCTGACCTGTACCTGTGTGTATGTATTTATACATGAATATATAATGTATGTATAAATATCTGTGTGTATAGATTTACGGATATGGTATTTAGACACATCTTATATAACATATTTTTTATATATGCATATTTATAAATGTATATTTAATACATAAAACATGTTTAAACATATTTATATTACTATATATTACATATTATATGTAATATGTAATGTATGTAATATTACATATAATATATATTATTATCTAATATGGTATTATAGTATTATTACATATAATATAGTATATAATATATACTATATTATACAAAATATAATACAAAAAATACAAAAATATATATTATATATTATTATATACTATATTATATGTAATAATACAGTATATATACAATATGTCTAAACATAGTATCTGTAAATGTGACTTTATTTGAAAATAGAGGGCCAGGCATGGTGGCTCATGTCTATAATTCCAGTGCTTTGAGAGGCTGAGGTGGGAGGATCATTTGAGCCCAGGAGGAGTTAAGACAAGCTTCACAGCATGGTGAGATCTATCTCTACAAAAATAAAATAAAATTAGCCATGCATAGCGGCCTGCACCTGTGCTTTTAGCTACTCGGGAGGCTGAGGTGGGAGGATCACTTGAGCCCAGGAGTTGGAGGCTATTGGAGGCTATGTTGAGCTATGATCATGTCATGGCACTCTAGCCTGGGTGACAGAGCAAGACCCTGTCTCAAAATAAAAAACTTATGTAAAAAAATTCCAGCCAGGTGTGGTGGCTCAAACCTTTGATACTAGCACTTTGGGAGGCTGAAGTGGGTGGATCACCTGAGGTCAGGAGTTCAAGACCAGCCTGGCCAACATGGTGAAACTCCATCTCTACTAAAAATACAAAAACTAACCAGGCATGGTGGCGTGCACCTGTAATCACAGTTACTCGGGAGGCTGAGGCAGGAGAATCGCTTGAACCTGGAAGGCAGAGGTTGCAGTGAGCCAACTTTGAGCCACTGTACTCCAGCCTGGGCAATAGAGCAAGACTCCATCACCAAAGAAAAGGTTCCCTGGACTGGGCAAGGTGGCTCATGCCTGCACTTTGGGAGGCCAAGGCAGGCAGATCATCTGAGGTCAGGAGTTCCAGACCAGCCTGGCCAACATGCTGAAACCCTGTCTCTACTAAAATAAAAAAATTAGCCAGATGTAGTGGTGCATAGCTGTAATCCCAGCTACTCGGGAGGCTGAGGCAGGAGAATCGCTTGAGCCCAGAAGGTGGAGGTGGTAGTGAGCCAAGATCACACCACTGCATTCCAGCCTGGGAGGCAGAGCGAGACTCTGTCTCCAAAGAAAAAAAAAGGTTCCCTGCCCAGGGCCAGCTCCCTGTCCATCTACCTCCACACCTGTGAGCTTCTCTAGTACGAGGACTAGCCTGTATCCATCTGGCGCCTGGCACCTTCTCAAAGAGGCCCTCCCTACCTCTGTCCTGCAAGGGCCCACCCACCTCTTACCTTACTCTTTCCCTTTCTCCATAACATGTACACCTGTTTTCTGCATTTATCATCTGTCTTCCCCCAGGGAGGTGTAAACTCCTCAAGGGCTGAGTTTTGCCTGCCTGGTTCACAGCTGTCTTCCCAGCACTGAGCACAGTGCTTGGCACATAGTAGGTGCTCAGTTAAAACTGACAGAAATTGCTGGGTGCGGTGGCTCACACCCATAATTTTCACATTTTGGGAGGCCAAGGTGGGAGGACTGCTTGAGCCTACGAGACTGAGACCAGCATGTGCAGCATAGCAAAACCCTGTCTCTACAAAAAAAAATACAAAAATTAGCTGGGCATGGTGGCACACACCTGTATTCCCGTAACTCAGGAGGCTGACACCGGAGGATTGCTTGAGCTGGGAAGTGGAGGTTGCAGTGAGCTAACATCTACCCCTGCACTCTAGCCTGGGAAACAGAGTGAGACCTTGTCTCAAAAAAAAAAGGCCAGGCACAGTGGCGGCTCACACCTGTAATCCTAGCACTTTGGAAGGCCAAGGTAGGTGGATCATGAGGTCAGGAGCTCAAGACCAGCCTGGCCGATAGGGTGAAACTCCCATCTCTACTAAAAATACAAAAATTAGCTGGGCATGGTGGCTGGTGCCTGTAACCCCACCTACTCGGGAGGCTGAGGCAGGAGAATCACTTGAACCCAGGAAGCAGAGGTTGCACTGAGCCGAGATCACACCACCGCACTCTAGCCTGGGGGACAGAGCGAGGCTGCCTCAAAAAAAAAAAAAAAAAAAAAAAAATTTGACAGAAAGGATGAATGAGTGAGTGAATGAATGAATGAATGATCCAATGAGTGGATGATGAGCAGACTCCACTCTTCAGTGTGTTTGGGGGAGGGTATGGCAGAAGGAAGCACAGGGCAGGTTGTGGGCAGGGAGCATCCTGGGCGGGGCATGCTCTTCCCCCTCCCTCGGTCCTCTCCTTATCTCATGGATCCCAAAGACCACAGGAATGAAGAGGAGAGCCAGCCCACACCCCACTCAGACATGACAACCCAGATGGATTTTCCCAGAGGATTCAGGGGCCTGTGGGATGGCCCTGTCTCTTGAATGGGGCTCTGCTGTGTGCAGGAGGAAGAGGACCCTGGGGTGCCCAGACTGCAGTCACTCTGCGGGTTCATTTCACTTCAGTCATCCCCCTGCCACTGTCCTGTTTTTCCATCTCTTGCACCACCTCTCCAGTTACTGCCTTCATACTTTGCTGTAACTAACTTATTCTTTTCCCAAACACATTGATTTAAAAAGCAGTGGGAGCCGGGCGCGGTGGCTCAAGCCTGTAATCCCAGCACTTTGGGAGGCCGAGGCGGGTGGATCACGAGGTCGAGAGATCGA